TTCAGGATCAGGAGTCACAGTCAATGCCCTTCATCCTGGAGTAGTAAGAACTGAAATAATACGAAATTTCAGGATTCTGCAAATGTGGATTTTGAGGCCAGTTCTCTTGTTTGTGATGTATTTCTTTTTCAAGACACCCAACGGTGGTTCCCAGACATCAGTCTACTGTGCAGTTGCAGAGGAACTGAAGAATGTTTCTGGGGAATACTTCAAGGACTGTGCATTGAAAGAATGCAGTGCTTTGGCTAAAGATGAAGCGTTAGCTAAAGAGCTTTGGAAACAAAGTGAACAGCTTACTGGAATAAACAAAAACTGATCCAGAGTTAACAAAGCCAATTGCTTCGGGACCAACATCATGTTTACACTAAATTTTTAATTTTTGTTTTCAATACTAGTTTTATTCTTCATATCACAGAAGTCCACCTCTTGACTCTTTATATCCCAGACTAAGATATACGATTTTCAATTGCACGCTATTTTACGCCTAAAGCGATATCGGTATTTGTTCCTCCTCCTTCTCTATCGCCCAGGTCAAATGAGACGAACGAACGAACACGAGACGAACGAACAGAGTTGAGTCAACTGACATCGAACTTATCATGATCTTAATTCGCTCAGTTTAGTTCGTCTCTTGTGAAGTTCGACGTTTGATCTCGGCCTTATTCGTTTTCTTTGGTAATATTTATTTGATCTCTCTCAAGGTGAACGGTCTCAAAGGGAATATTGATCAGGGCCGTAGCCAGAAACAAATTATACGTAGATAATTTTAAATTATATTCTAACCAATTAAATGCTGTCTGAAGAAGAAAATTAACATTGATAGGGGTAGTTTCAAATTATGTCATAAAATTTAACGGAAATAGAAATAAACTTGAAATGCAGCGAAGCTTTGGTAAAAAGAAGCTTTCCGTGGACTTTTCCCAATAAGGGAATAAAATTTGTTAAATAATGTTTTGTGATCAGTGAGCATGCTAACCCGAAAACTATATTTGAAACTGATCCTAAAATAAAAAGTGTCGTGATCTTATAAAAACTTTAAAAACTAAATTTTCGGCACACTCTCTGCTGCCTTTGTCAGAATTAGCGTGAGGCCCTGTCCATACCACGCGGGAGGAATTTGAAAACGCAGCTTTATTTCTACGGTTAGGCGTACCGTCCACACTAATCCGTCACGAAAACGGAGCTTTTCGAAAACGTTCTTCAAACCGGGGGAAATTGAAAACGCTGGCTTTGCGTTTTAGTGTGAACGGAAAAAATTTGAAAACGAAGCTTTTCGAAAACGATAAAGCCGCGATAATCACGTGGTTTTCCTCAAACACAAACCTACAAATGGTGAAGGTTAGCACTGAAGCGTAACTTTGAAAAAAGTTTCCCTGTGAAATGAATATATTTTGTAGGCATGGAAGCTACTTCATTTAATTCTCCCCGAATGGCATCTTCTAGAATTTGTACAAGAAATGCTGCAGAGAACAGCACTTCAGACATGGCGTCCAAAGCAGTTTATGCCTTATTATTTGTCGTAGTAATTGTCCTCACGGTAACAATGCCAAAACATTTTTTTTTCGCTTTTTTCCGCTCCACAAGTAACGTCAAAAGAGAGTTAGGTTATCTTAGCACGAAACAAGATAGAGATCTAGATGTCATAAAGACCAAATTCTGACAAGTTACTTATGGTACTGCCAAATCGTTGCTCACGTAGCCCGACACTGTAACTTGGATTTCGACATTCGGCCTCCTGCCAGGACCTTGACGGTGACGTTACCAATATCGTTTTCAAGTTAAGATCAATTTTGATCTTGGAGTTCTTTGTTTTCATTTTAAACTGAAAAGCTTAAAACTGAAAAGTTTATAAACAGATGCCTCCTAAATTCTACATATGGCATTCTAGGGTGGCTTCTCTCCTTTTGCAATCCTGATTTACGATCAATTGAAAACCAGGATACAACCTTACAAAAAGTAAACTTCTAGTCTGGGGTCGTTTTAACATTCATTAAAAGTCATATGAAAGAAAACCTAAACCTACAGGTTATTTGAGATAGTCCTTTAGTCTATATATCAGCCCAGGAGTGACCCGCCGAACGCTTAGTTGAGGTGAGCGAAGGACGAAAGAACGTATTAGGGGTGGGAGGGGGGGGGGGGGGGTGGCTAAGTATTCTACTTTTAATGAACAAAGGTATTAGTTTCTATCCGTTGGCTATCTATCACCTTATATGTAACGCGCGCCAGTGGAAAAAATGTTAATTATTACCATAGTTAGTACCTCTACTAACTATGTTATTACAATTAAAAAATTGACGTCGGTTTTTCATGCGTCTGTCCTGTTATTGATCATGAATTTCGTCATAACATTGTCAAAGAAGCTGTGGATCCGCAGACTACTTTGACAACGGTATGACGAAATTCGTTGTCAACAACAGGACAGACGCCTGAAAAACTAACGTCAATTTGTTTTTTTATGATAATAAATTGTCCGCTCTCACTCGTTGACGTATCGCATAAATTATAAATTCATGTGTCTGTCCGCTTACTGACAAAGAAAATTAGCCAATGAGCGCGCGAGAATTTCTGAAGTTACCACAGAATGGCTTCTTGGCAATGGCTTGCCACACTGCTAGAATGTATTACTCAAATTATTTGACTCAGCTATAAGGTCGCTATTTTGATGAATGAGGACATACTCAGTTGCTCACGTTATGGTAAAAGCCAACCTTGATGACCTAACTTTGCACTAAAGCCAACCTAGATGACGTAACTTTGCAAAAAAGCCAACCTTGATGACCTGACTTTGCAATAAGAAACTTCAAGTTTCAAAAGCAACACTACTTCTTGCAAATCAAACATCACAATCCCTACTCACACTAAGCTGGAAACACTATATGTTTTATAGTCACTGCCTATTAAATAATAGGCTGATTTAGTAAGAGAACGGGAACGTCACTTGACGACGGCGCGCGCAGTACAAATACCCAAATATGGTCAAATTAGAACAGAATCCAGGTTAATCCGCGCGACCTGCAGTCGTAATCTGACGCTCCCATCCTGTTGCTAAATCAGCCTAATGGTTACACTACCACTTGAGCGTTTTTAATACATTTGTTTTATTATTTCACGTGCATTTTTGGTATATAAAGTAACAGTATAAAATAATACAAAACTAGACTTGAGAGAAATTCAATTGTCACCTTGTTATTGACAATTTATAAAACATTCGTCAAGGGGACTTGACTGTAGCCAGTGTGTAATTTAGCTGAGGCAGATTTGGCTCTGTAATTGGTGGCCCTGCTGTGAGTCTCGGCGTCACTTCCAGAACACGAGCCAGATTTCTTGTTGTAGCTTCGAGCCTCTACCTCACTTTTGGACCGCGACGCAAGAGAGCCATATTTATTTCTGCCATGCGACACTCCAGAAGACGCTTCCAAGCTGCTCCCATGCTGTGATTTGGAAGATGCAGATTTGGTTCTGCCATCCGATAGGCGAGTAGACGCTTCCACGCTGTTCCTATTCTGTGATTTAGAAGATGCAGATTTGGTTCTGCCATCCGATACACCAGGCGACGCTTCCAAGCTGCTCCTGCTCTGTGATTTAGAAGATGCAGATTTGGTTCTGCCATCCGATACACGAGGCGACACTTCCAAGCTGCTTCTGTTCTGTGATTTAGAAGATGCAGGTTTGGTTCTGCCATCCGATACACCTGGCGACGCTTCCAAGCTGCTCCTGCTCTGTGATTTAGAAGATGCAGATTTCGTTCTGCCATCCGATACACCAGGCGACGCTTCCAAGCTGCTCCTGTTCTGTGATTTAGAAGATGCAGATTTAGTTCTGTCATCCGATAGGCGAATAGACGCTTCCACGCTGTTCCTATTCTGTGATTTGGAAGATGCAGATTTGGTTCTGCTATCCGATACACAAGGCGACGCTTCCAAGCTGCTCCCGTTCTGTGATTTAGAAGATGCAGATTTGGTTCTGCCATCCGATACACCAGGCGATGCTTCCAAGCTGCTCCTGTTCTGTGATTTAGAAGATGCAGATTTAGTTCTGCTATCCGATACGCGAGAAGACGCTTCCACGCTGTTCCTATCCTGTGGTTTAGAAGATGCAGATTTGGTTCTGCCATCCGATACACGAGGCGACGCTTCCAAGCTGCTCCTGTTCTGTGATTTCGAAGATGCAGACTTGGTTCTGTCATCTAATGCGTCAGGAGACGCTTCCAGGCTACTGTGAGATGCAGATTTAGTGATGCCATCCGATACGGGAGACGTTTTCAAGCTGCTCATAGACTGTGATTTAGGAGATGCAGATTTACTTCTGTCGTGCGACACTTCAGGAGATGCTTCCAGGCTGCTGTGTGATTTAGGAGATGCAGATTTAGTGATGCCATCCGATACGGGAGACGTTTTCAAACTGCTCCTAGACTGTGATTTAGGAGAAGTAGATTTAGGTCTGCCACGCGACAGTTTAGAAGACGTTTCCAAGATGTTACTTGAGTGTGATTTAGGAGATGCAGATTTACTTCTGTCACGCGACACTTCAGGAGACGCTTCTAAGCTGCTCCTAGACTGTGATTTAGGAGATGCAGATTTGGTTCTGTCATCCGACAGCTGAGGGGATACTTCCGCGTTGCACCTGGAGTCTGATTTCAGAGAGGCAGAGTTAGTTCTCCCATCCCACACGTGAGGGAACGCTTCTAAGCTGCTCCTAGACTGTGATTTAGGAGATGCACATTTGGTTCTGTCATCCGATAGCTGAGGGGATACTTCCGCGTTGCACCTGGAGTCTGATTTCAGAGAGGCAGACTTAGTTCTACCATCCCACACGTGAGGGAACGCTTCTAAGCTGCTCCTAGACTGTGATTTAGGAGATGCAGATTTGGTTCTGTCATCCGGCAGGCGAGGGGATACTTCCGAGTTGCACCTAGAGTCTGATTTCAGAGATGCAGACTCCCACACGTGAGAGAACGCTTCTAC